GGGTAATTGCAAGTAATGGTTTGGTTGGGAGTGACACCTCTTAGGAGAAGGTGGTAGACAAAGGAGAGAAGGAAGAGAGCCAATCAGGTAGCAGGACTGGTATTTTGGATTAATGACCAGATGTTTGACAGCTGTGTTATCTTGCTGGGTAGCAGGAAGATGGATGCTTATTCTGAGTTTTGTCCCAGATTAGTATGTATAGTATGGCTAAATAATACAGGATTACTAAAAACACTTTCCTGGGAGTAAACCCCATTGAAAAGACCTGAGTAGACCTACTTAAGATTGCTCTCTAAATTAGGTTAGCAATATAACACACTGCAAAGAGATATGGCTGAGACAATGAAGCAAGGAAGGTACACCTTACAGAAATACAAAGTGCATTTCTGTATCCATTAGTGACCGGAAATTCTACACCCTCTACATTTCACAGAACAGAATTGTTAACTAGGGCTGCCAGGTCTGGGTTGGAAAATACCTGGAGACTTTGGAGGTGGAGCCAAGAGAGGGTGGGGTTTGGGGAGGGGAGTCAGAGTCCACCCTTCAAAGGAGCCATTTTCTCCAGGGGAGGTGATCTCTGTCAGCTGGAGATCAGTTGTAAAAGCGGGAGATCCCCAAGACCCACCTGGAGGCTGGCAAGCCTACTGCCAACTCTGAGTTGTGAAATTTTGGCAGAGGGGGTGGAGCCTGAGGATGGCAGGATTTGGGGGAAGGAAGGGACCTCAGCAGGGTACAATGCCATTCAGTCTACCTTCCAACGGTTCCATTTTCTCCAGGATAACTGATCTTAGTCATCTGGAGTCATAGGTGTAGAGTTTGGGGAGGCGGGGGCAAGGGCTACCTCCGAAATTTTCCAGGGAAGACTCGCCTCCCCCGGGGCTTGTGATGCTTGCAAAAAACAACCCATCCCCCTTCCCGTTTTGAAAGCGGAAGGTTTTTTTAACTTAATTTTTTTTTTACCAGTTTGGGGGCGGTCGCCCTGGCTGTGCTCGTCTAGCCAGCTCAGCGCCTCCTCCTCCTCCTGGTCCCCTCTGTCGGTGGAGGGAGGGAGGGAGGGAGAGCCCTAGGGGGCTGCTGCCATGGAGGATGCCGGACCTTGTAATCCCCACACTTTGCTGGGGGCGGGGACTGAGCAGCCTGCTGGGAGAGCTTGGCCCCACGGTTCCCACGTGCAGCAGAGCCTGGTGCACCTGGTGAGGAGAGGGCGGGCTCCGCGAGCCGGGGGGGGAGGACGAGGGGGAGCCAGCCTCTCACTCCTTGAAGGGCTACCTTTCTGCCCCCGCCTGGATGGCTGCAAACAGCAAAGGCTCTTCTTCCTCCCAGCCTGAAACAGATCCTCCTGAATTGCCCTGATTCTTTCCCTGAAACAACACGCAGCCACCATCGGATTGAAAGGTTTGTGAGCAACACCGTAGATGGTATCATGGATCTAACGCTTCATGATTCTTTGTGGCACAAAAGCTATTTTTCAAAATGTGAACCTTTGGATTTAGAAAGCACCCCAAAATGCCCAGCAGTCTGCTGTCCATCTGCCAGCATGGTCAGGCTGTCTGAAGGGGGATGTACTAAAAGGAAGGACAGGATTGCCCATTGGAAATAATGGGCTTGAAGGCCCATTGGGAATAATGGGAGTTAGGAATG